AAACATTTTTAATATAATTCGAATTATTTCAAATTTTTTTGCACTTATAATTCACATTAGTTTTTTTTAATCTGCTTTGAATTATTTTGAATTATTTTGCGTAAAATTGCGTTATTTCTTGCGTAATATTGCATAATTATCTTATGTAATATTTCGTAATTATATATTTCGCAAAATTGCGAAAGTTATTACGTAATATTACGGTTTTCTTACGCTTTGTAAATTATTGCGCAATATTACACCCTATTAAATTTGCTGATGTAGTAGAATGCCATAATACTATAATATTGTAATTCAGTAATTCTACTGCCAACACTAGGTATGTTATCTAAGATAATATTTAAAAAGTAGAAATTTCAAATTAACAGCCATAGCATTATTATATTCAAATATAGTATTATATTTGAGATATAGATAATTCTATTTGTATCTGGTAGGTATGGTTTGGTATACCGATATTAGAAAAAAAAAAATTGATAATATCTCAAAATTTTATTAAGAAAAACCAATGTAATGTTCTTAAGTAACAGGTAAAAAAATATTCAGTATCTAATTTTACATATAATACATCTTTAATTCTAACTCTAATAACTATATGAGTTATATTTTTCTTATACTAAGTACCATGCTCTATAGGTATTTTTAAAATTTTTTTAAAACTTAAACATTTATAGTATTTTATAAAGACATACATTATCTGATAATCCAAACTGTAAAATTGGTTTGGGCCAAAAATTTTGGATTGTTCGGATTAAGCCTAATTTTGAGATTGGGTCTAGTTTTTTCTTTCATATTGCACTAATATATAAATTCTAGGTTGACCGGTTAAAGTATTTGGATTAAATACTTTGGATTGGCTCCAGACTAAATCAGAACACTATATATTTTACAGAATTGACTATATAGGCTAAGTGCTAAAAAAGACCAAATGTCATTTTTTTAAAGTTTGTATTTTTTATAAATTTTTATAAGATTTATATAATATAAAAATTGATTTTCTAAAAATCTTTTTTTTTGTTAATTTGGTTCTTTTTCTTAGCATCTAGTACATTATGTTAATATAGTATGTAGGGTTTCAAATTAGTTTTAAATTTTAAACCTGTGACCCGAACTGGAGGATCTACACAGGAATACAAAAATATTATCATTTTGATTTTAGCTAGAATTAAGCTTCAAGTCAGTGGAATTAATAAAATCACATGTTTGTTTCAATTCAGAATGTGCTAAAACACTATAGACGCGTTTTATAGTAATTGATTTTTATATAAACAAGTAAAAGCGTCATGTTAAAGCAGGGGCTGTGAAATAAGAAAAAGATTAAATAATAGTAAAAAAAACAGAGGAAAGTATAAATTAAGTAAAGTAAGTTATTACAGAGAAGTCAAAGAGGTACAAAGTTAAAGTGTGATAATATTATAGTAGGTTACTAGTTGTAAACCTGTGCAATAATACACAGAAATAAACTTATAAAATTTTTTAAAATAAAATAAATATATAGTAAAACTTTTTTAATTATTAAGCTATAAACCCATGCGATGCACAGAAAAGATTTAATATAAAATAAATACAAATTTAATTACTTGGTTTTCATAACATGAAACTTTAAACAAATCTGGCTAGCCAGCTTTTTTTTTTAAATTTTTTTTTTTTTTTTAATATTAAAGATGAGGTCTTGCTCATATCTTTATTGAGTAATTTATATAAAAAGCTATATAGTAAACTATATACAACTTAATTTGTACTAATACAAATACATATAAATTATATGCAAGAGTAAGAGCTCAGACTAATAAAAATTTATCTGCGACCTAAACCTACTAGAGTAGTCAAGACTCACCTAGCTTTTCAAGGTTAGTATAGAATTAATAGGTTTACTAGAAGAAACCCATGTAGAGCTCCAGCTATTAAACTTTTTTGTAGCTAGTCCAACTGGTAGGCATGTATCATTTTCTTTATGAAGTTGGTTTGGTTGTCTGCAAAGGCAGCTATAAGTATATGTTTTTCTGTTTCATTTCAAGGTTGGTTGCCTTTTATTAGGAAGAGGTTTACTTGAAGATCTTGTAGATACTTTGTACTGTTTTTTCCATAAAGCTAGCTTGGCAGCATAAGGCTTCCATATTTGTTCATAGATACTATCTGTTATGTGTAGTAGGATTTTTATTATTGTTTAAGATGCTTCTTTATAAGATACCTCCTCAGATTGAAGAGCTTGTATTAGTGGAACTAGGATAAGGCTCTGTAGAGTCATAATGAGATAAAAGTTATTGGTTAGCTGAGAGGGGTTAAATGTGAGATGTGAATAGAGCATGTTGGTTAGAGTATCATATATAGAAGTTGATTGTGTAGAAAGTGTTTTACGAAGTACTTCGGATATAGATAAAAGTATTATATGGTTGAGAGTATTAGATTGAAGACATGTAAGCCAATGTGTGGGTGAATCTGGATTGTTACAGTTGCAACAGTTAGGGGAGTGAAAGTGTTTGTATGAAGTTGTATAAAAGTGATGGTAGGTAGGAAGACATGTTAGAAGTATTTTTATTTTAAATGCTTTTGCATGATTGAGTTTGAGACTAGTATAGCTATGTGAGGCTT